CCAGCTGCCGGGCGCTGGGCAGCGCGGCCCCAAACGGGCTGCGTCTGTGGGAGAGCTGCTAAAACCTGCACGGGTTCAGCCTTGAGGGGGACTGATGCAGTGTAAGTCGTCGATGTGCCTGTGGTTTGTGATGTGGCGGCCGTTCATCAACCGTACTTGAGCCTCCTCCGTTTAATTTTGTGAATTGACGGTTTAGGTAGGATTGGATTTAGACGTCCATGTAAATGCTTTGCCGTGATGGGGCGGGTTTGCTCTTCAGGTGGGGTCTGAGCTATAGCTCGTGAGTATAATCCTAGCTTCAGTATGTATCGCAGCAAGCGTGGAAGAGCTGCTGTGACATGTCTCGAATGAGGTATGCATGCAGCGTGGTCCTTATTCAGGCACGCGGGTACCTCCATGAGTTCAGCATGTCCGCTGTCACGTTGCCTCGTGTTTGTCAAGGCCTGGCTGGTGGCTGGTGAGCCCCGTGGGGCTCGCTGGCTGTTTGGGGGCAGCTGCTGTTCCAGGCCTGCAGTCTGTGGCCAGACTCGGGAGTCCAAATGCCCATGGGTGGGGTGAGATGAGCTGGGGGACCTGCTGCAGTCAGTGTTGCCCAGTCCCATCCCATCGGCAGCGGTGGGATTTCCCGGGGAGCTGATTCTGGTGCTTGGCTTGTGTGTAGGGCCTCCTCCCCCTCTGCGTTCTCTCTCATAGCCAGGGTGGGCTGTGTTTCTTCTCTTGCAAATGGAGATGCTACATGTTAAAATCTGAGCCAAAAGAATAGCCAGCTGTCATCACCCACCCCCACCTGGCCACACACTATTGCTATTCACTTTTTGCAGGCTTTGGTGCTTGTCTGACGATATGAGAAGCCAGTTCGGTACACTAGAACAGCAAAAGTCCATCCAACCGCCCCCCCCCCGGCTTCTTTTTTTTGATTTTTTTGACTGAATGGCTGATGCAGGGGTAGGGATCAGAAATCATTCAGGATCAGGAATGGAGGCTGTGAAACCAATGGCTAGGCCAAGCTGAGCTGCTTTCACTCGCTGTAACTTGTGGCTTCCCACTCTGACCTGTGAAAGCTTTGACTTGTGGCAAAGCTTTGAGTCAGGAAGTCTCTGCATCAGGAAAAAACAACCTGAGCATTGTTTGGCAGATGCTTTAAAAGAACCGGTGCAGCGAGACCACCTTCCAGACAGAGAGAAAGGACGGGGCGTTTCTGCCTTTCCCTGGCTAAGGTAGTTTGTTTTTTTTCTAAGATACTTGCATATGTAGGTGCTTTTTTCTGAAGTGTGCATTTTGTTACTTTGGGTCATACAAACTAATGATCGTTATGGAGTTCAGTGTGTGATTTCAGAAATTTAAGTAACTTCCCTTGTCAAGTTGACATATCTAAACGAAATACGAATGCGTTCCTTTGGTGTGCTACAGAAACAGCTCCTTAGTGCAGTAGTAAGTGCCTTGTGGCACACAGCACCTTGATGTTCAACTACAGAGCCATAGATTTGATAATTTTTTTGGTGTTTCTGAAGCTGGTAGGGGAAATGATCTGTTTCTGAATGCTAATACAAGGCAAAATAATCAGTGTGCAGTCTTGATTGAGGAGAAGATGAACCAGCTGCCCTCGTCCTTCATTGCTTTTTTCTTTTCTTTTTTCTTTTTTCTTTTTTTTTTTTTTAAGAGGGAGAGGAGAGAAGGAAAAAAAATGCTAGTGCTTGTGTTTTGTTCTGACAGCTTTCTTGAATTTTGTAAAATTAGTTTGTATCGGATGTCTGACTGCACAGATTACTGATGGTGTGAGATACCTTGCCACATGCCAGACCAGCAGTGAGAGTTCAAGAAAGAATCTGCGTGACTGGAAAGTGAAAACTTTTCTTCAATGAAGAAAAGGTTACTTAGTGGCCTTTAAAATGTACGAGAGATTAATAGTTTAGGTATTGTTTGTAACTGTAAGGAATCTCAAAGAAGTTTGCAATGCTGAATGATCCATCTGTAGCCTAAAGGCTATGTGTGTTTATTTAAGAGCACTACTCCAAAATTGAGGCTAAGAAACTAGTAACATACCTAATTAAAACTTTGAGAGCTTAGCTAGTTATTTTAGATTTTGGACTTAGGGTTTAATGCAACTTTCATGTCATCTCTTTCCTGTACACGGAGGATGTTAAGAGCCTGGCATGATGTCTTGTCTGAAAGATAGCGCTGTCAGCATCAGTGTGCTGTCTGGTGTTGTGTAACAAAATCAGGTGTAGAAATCGAAAAGAAAAAACTGTTTAACATTATCCCCATATTCCCAAAGAAGGCTGGGGCCGGAATTTAGCTTAAATGCTTGATCTTCTGATCTTATTTATATAAAAATAAACAAGCCGTATCTTAGCAGACTATTGTCTTAAGAACAAAAAATGAAATCTTATCACGTGGAATATCATGTCATGCCATGCCATGGTTGTCTTTGAGCTTAGGACCTGTTGACCCAGTATGTTTAATGGTGTAAGGGGATCGCTACACGGACAAATACAAGTCAAGTGTAGAAGGAAAACCTTTCTCTCTCTTAGGACAGGCAGGCAATGAAGCCGTTGCTCAGCAAGGCTGTGCAGGCGCCGTCCTTGAAGGTTCTGGGACCTGCCTGGAGAAAGCCCTGAGCTGCCTGGTCTGATGCCAGAGCTGGCCCTGCTTGGGGCCGGGGCTTGGACTGGAGACCTCCTGAAGGCCCTTCCTGCCTGAGTGACTGCAGTGCTGTGGTTAAAAGTGTGAGGCTTTTCTGGTTTTAAAGGCCTTTGATAACTGCGTTTTCCTGTCTTCCTTGCCTCAGCCTACTTGCTTAGTCTCTTTCTTTTGGTTGTCCCAATTCCTTGCTATTGGTCTCCTTGTCTTGCAGTGGTTTTTGGTTCTCCAGCCTGCTGTTTTGCCCTGTTTGCCAGCTAACTTCTCCCTCCAGCTGCTGCCCCACTTAACTTCACATCTGGCTTTCTTTACTTCACCAGCCCCCATTTCCCCAGTTCTCTTAGTTCTTAGTTCTCTGCGTTTTGCTTGGCTGCCTGCCCTCCCTCCCTCCCTCCCTCCAGTTGGCTTCTCTACCCCTCTGCCCCCAGCTCGGTGCCTGGCCTTTGGCTGTGCTCCAGTCCCAATAGATGTCTTCCTCCTCCGCTCTGCTTGGGCCAGCAGGGCAGTGGCTCTTCTCCTGTACTAGAGACACAACCCTTTGCTCTCCACTTCTGTGTTGCTTGCCTCCTGACAAGCTGCTCGAGAGTGCTTGCAGTCTTCGTTCACCCCAGGAGTTTACAGCGTGACCGAATTTGGGTGGACATTCCTACTGGCAGAAGGCATGCCTCTAACATAGGTTTCTGTCCTTTTCTACATTGTGAAATCGTTTTCAAAATTGGCAAAACTTCAGGCTTGAAGTGGCACCAGTGCACTATGTGTTTGTGAATGTTTAAGTATGAGAAGGCTTTTTTTTTTTTCTTCTTCACCTGTTCCCTGGAAAGTTTCAGTGAAGTGACCTCAGTGTTTTCAGACAAGTTAGCAGGAGGCAGATGGTCAGGAAAAATGTGTTCTGAGTTGTTAACACAGTAAGATGTGAGATGCAGACAGTTGGAACAGATGAGCTTTTGTTATGACGAGTGGCTGTGGACCTTAATTTACAGCCTCATGGGGGAGCTGGGTGAGGTTTATTGTTTTGTGCTGGACTCGATACTTTCAGTGCTATGTTCTGTACGGAATAAATAAAAGCAGTAAGTTGCAATTCAGTGCTTTGTGGATAGCAGGGACTTAAATGTATTGGTACTAGTGCACCTAGAAATGGAATGAGGAGGAGTAGTAGTTTTGCCTGTAAAGCCGTGAAAATGTAATATATGGTGATGGAATCTGGAGACCAAAAGTTAGTTACTGTGTACTTGAATGTTTCAATGGTTATTTTTATTCCTTTTCTTACTTTAGAATCTTCTCCCCATTTACCGGCACCAAAGGATGTGATGATTTATTCCTATAACTTTCGTAGTTTGCTGAGGTGGTCTCCTGTGAAAGTGGATAGAGGCTCGGTGTTATATACAGTCCATTTTAAAACGTAAGTAAATAGTTCTAAAAACAAAAACCAATTTTGTTCTAATCCAGTAAGACAATTATTTAAAAAAAAAAACAAAACCAAACTAAAAATTAATAAGCACAGAAATGAAAGTTGTCTATTACAGATGCTTTTATGTATATCCAAAAGCAGCTTTTGAAGACTGACAATCTCTTTGCCTGTGATATGTCCACTAAACTGAGAAAAGATTGAAGACCTGAAGAGCACCCAGAAATGTTGCATAGTTTCCTGTATAATTTTAGCCTTACCAAGTTCTCTCTCGCTAATTTTAATTTTTCCCAGATACTGAGGAGATGCAGGCGCTGAAAGGGCTGTGGAATTAAACCTGCTTGAAAGTGGTAGTTTTGTAACACATTCTTTTGTTACAAAAATTGTCTAGGCAGGAGGGATTGTATTTTAGGTAGTTGCACTGTTCTGCTGATGCTTTATTTGTCCTTTGTTTTGCATTGCAGAGGGGCCTTTAACCAGTGGGATGAGATGAACTGCACCCGTATCGCCCAGACTGAATGCAGTTTCCCCTGGTCACTTAAGGAGCGGCGCTGGACTGTTGTTTTGCGCGTGAGGGCTGAGCTAGGGCAAGTGACTTCTGACTGGGTAGAAACAGATCCATTTGTGGCAGAGAGAAACAGTAAGTGCTATTTATGATTTCAGTGTCTCTCTCCCAAAGGAGATTTCTTCGAAAAAAATGTGTGGTGTCTGTTCTAGACTTTTTTGACTCTATTATGTACAAAAGCCAAGTGAGAGAATTGCAGGTGTTCGGTTAACAAAGACTACAAGGCCTCGGTGTGTCGCTAGGAATTTGATGCTACTTAGTTCCTCCGTAGTGGGATTTGCCGTGCACCCTTTCAACAGGTATCGAAAGAGAAGCAGGTGAGTTTCCTTGGGTGGTTGAGCCTTATAAGAGCTACAACGCATTTTTTGTTAGAGAGTTTTCCATTTAATTATTTCCCCGCTTAGCACGGCCGCATACACATGTACTCCCTTGATTTGTGCTAGTCTGAGTACAAACTACCTGTTTCTATTGAACTGATCCCTTTTCTAATAAATATATACTGTCCTGACTACAGTGTAGAAGGGTCAAGGGCAGACTTTAAATCCTGTTAAATGTGCAAACAAGCATATTGTTGTTCTTTATAAGATCTGCTCTTTGCCTTGCTGTGATTGGTTTCAGGATTAGAAGGAAGTAAATGTTGAGTTTAAAAATACCTCTGAAATGATAACGAAGCAGAGGAAAGGATTTATTAACTCTTTAGTTCAAGTTCTCCCATTCCTTGTGAGGAGCAGTGGTGGTCCCTGCTGCAAAGAGTATGATGCTTTCCCTGGTGACTTCCGTTCTAAATCTTGGATTTTCTCTAGGAGTAAAGAGTGTGGGGGTGAAGAATTGCCTGAATCCTGCATTGACGTTTACAACTGACGTATCCATAGCTTGTGATGCAGGATTGTTTAGGAGTGGGATCCTTTGAGGGTTAGGAAAGCACTGGGCTAATGGGAATACATGACAAAGGAGAGGCTGGGTGTGGGAGAGATGTTTGTGTGTCTGTTCCTTGGGGGAGCAAGAGGAGCGTTATGTGATCATTCTTGTGTGACTGCCCTGGAGATCAGTTCCTAGACACCAAGACCGTGGGCTACTCAGTCGGGCTATTCTCTTCCTTTGATGTTTGGATCAGTTCCACTCGAGAGGAGAGCTTCTGGAATTTGTGAGGACACACAACAAGGCGTTTGCAGTTGTACAGCAATAGGAAGTAGAAAGAAACTGAAATTTCTCTACCAATATAAAGATCACGGGGGCCAATTTTCTCTAAGTAACAGTGGACAGAGCAGGTTCTGCTGGGTTTTTCGAGGTACAATAAGCAATGGTTGCGTGCAAGGATTGATTTTTGCTGTTAATAGTTACCCCTCTTTAGTATGCAAGCAGCTGTTAACTAATATTTGCTTGAGTAGGTTTTTTGAGATCCTGGTGTGCTTTACAAATGCTGATAAGCTTAACTGGTGAAAGAAGTCAAGATACAACAGATAAATGACTACTGAACATACATGGCCTGTGATCACGCAAGTCTCTTGTGTTAGGACTGACAGTACTTTATGTAATATTTTTCATGATTTAGACCTCAGAGTACTTCACAAAAGGAAGGCATCATCTTTACCGTATAGGACAGATGGAGACATCAAAGCAAGGAGGGGGAAACTGGTTATTCCTCCTCCAATCTATTGACCCGAACAGTGTGGTTTTTTTGAGAACGTGGAATATGTGGCAGGCTATTTGAGGGGGAAAAAAAAAGAACAAAATTGTATCACCATTAACTACTGATAAATTCAGATACATTCTAGTGACTATTTACTGAATTTCCAGGGAAAGTTAACAGGAAACTTTTTTTAATTATCTAGTTTCACTTACGCTTTCAAGTCTTTTTCCTTAGATTTGTAATAAAGTAGATATCTTAAATGCATTAAGTAGATGAGAGAATGTTGTATTCCCTTTCTTGAGAAAAAGCTGACAATATTTAGCTTGTTTGCTGAGAGTATCTGAGTAAAGCTGGAGACAGTATGATGAGCTGTTCTGCATCCCAGAGGTTCACTGCCCTTTCTGTGTTTATTTTCAGCTACTATAGGGCCCCCTAAAGTGAACAGTGTGACTGTAAGCTCTGACTCACTTCTCATTAGTGTCACACCCCCTTTTGGATCTGAAGCAGGTGACCTTCTTCAGTATCATGTGTCCTACTGGGAGAACGCAACAAGTACTACTAAAAAAGTAAGAATTCTCTCTAATTTATTTTGTTCATAATGCCTTTGTGACTAAGAGGTATGAGTCAGTGTCTCTTGGCAAAACAGCAGAAATGGAGGAAGAAAACGAATGTCATTTTTCTCTAGAAGTGAAGGTCATCATTTGGTGTCTCGGAAAAAAGTTAATTTGATCTTGGCACAAGTATTGCATGTATTACGAAACTTTCAAAACCATCTTTTTTTCCTCTATATGAAATGAAGGTTAAATCACATTGCAGATCAAGGGAGAGAATCCACAAAGTGTCAGAGGTGGCTTTAAAATGGCATTTAGATTCCGAAGTTTGCTTAGGCAATTTGGAAAACACTGAAATATCCTTCTTCCTTTCCTGTGCTGGGCTTGTTTGTGCTCGCAGCTTCAGTAACAGGCTGCTTTGGCCTGATGTTGCCTGTTCCTAGGGCAGAGAAAGGCAGAGTTATTAGAAACATGCTGGAGACAGCTGGGGTGAGCTGTCCCTCTTCATATTGAGACTTAGAGGTGTTGGTCTCATTGTGCTCTTATGCTGCTGTCTGGGCCCTGGTAATTGTGTTCTTGACAGGCCAGCGTTGCAGGGGAGGGATTAAGTTACACTTGAAAAAAAAAATTAAAAAAGAGGGAGAAGATTCAAAAGAATATAATTCTGAAGTCAAATGTTTAAAAAACAGAAGCAGAAAAAAATGATTTATTTTAAAACCCTTTTTTTTCAGGGACCTCGCTAAATCTGAAACGCCTCCACTTCCTTCCTCTCTTGCACCAATGTGTATTTTTCTCACACACATAAAATACCTTCGTGTTTGAGATTCAGACAAGAAGTTGCTCTTGTATGCTTCTGTAGGCTTCGCCGAGGCTGTTATCCTAGCCCCTTACAAATTAAAAATTCCCAAAAGACTGTGGTGGCCGTGTGGAGGCTGTGGAGGTTTTGCACTGCCCATCAGCTGTTTTCCCCTTCAGCAGAAGGAGCTGAGACGGTGGAAGCTCTTCACTGAACTACACTTCCGTCAGCCTCCTCTGATGGTGGAGGCACTTCTCATGGCTTGTTTTTCCCTCCCCCTTCCTATATTGCGCTCGCTACCTGAGCTGTGACAGAAGCTGCGTCGAAGTGTCCAGCAGCTTATTGTGGATAAAATGAGACCTTGCATCAGTTTTCATGCCTCTCCTGTTCGTGCCCTTATAGATGGTTTTAAATGGTCAGGCTTAATTTCGTTTAAAAATAATGACATTTCAAATGCATTCAAGTAGGAAAGTTGAAATATGTTTCACTGCTTCTCTTGTTTGGGAAAGCTGAATTACGAAAAATAAAATCTCTGCGTTTTGAATGAGAAACTTAAATATGGGGAGGGGATTTGTGTTGAAGACGGGTCTGGTTTTTACAGTAACGCCTGTATGTATTTTTTTTTGTCTTTTAAACAGGAGACAAAGATGAGCAATACACTATTCAAAATCAGAAATCTAAAGGAATCGACACTTTATTGTTTTAGAATTCACATAGAATTGATGACACATTCAGATCTCCAGTTACTTGGACGGCAAAGTGTCCCAGAGTGTTACAGAACTACAATCAGTGGTATAAATCTGATTTTGTTATTTTTTGTATATAATGGGATGAGTGTAGAACATGAGTCTTGGGTCATGTAACCGGTCACTTACGTACCCGTATCTGTCAGTAGTGCTAAGAGAGCACCACTGATAGTAGTTCACAATTGTCGTTAATGGCAAAGCAATAAGGAAAATTTCAGTCAGTAGTTGAGGGTCTGTGTTGTATTTTTCCCCTCGTCCTTTTCCTTCATAAATACTGCTACGGGTATTACTTTCTAGAAGTATGCAAAGAAAGAAAATACAAATACTTGGTCTTTAGAGGGAGTTGTTGATGAAGGAGATGGTGTTACTCTTGCAAATCCTCTCCCTCAGCCACTTCCTCCTGCAGAACAGGAATGTCCCTCTCCTCTTTGACCTGCTCCCTTCTCTGACATTGTGAGCTCCGTGGTTTTTGTACGCGATGAGAGGGAGGGTAAGGGGAGGAGAGGGCACGTGCAAGATAACAGAGTTTGTCCCTCTCTTGAATCTCTCCGTGTGACCACCAACACACAGGCACAACTGATCTTTAGCATGCTTTGAACACGCTGGAAGACGTGTAGATGAAGCCTGCTTACGCAGTTCCTGAAGCCCCACAGGGGCTGACCTCCCAGGCGGTATTGACCAAGTACTTGATCGCAAGCCGCTGAGCTGTGGTGCTGGAGTCTGTGATGCTCCCTTGGCTCCCTTTGCTGAAGGGAGGTGCATGTTCTGAAAGAGAAGCCCCTGGCATTAATGGCCCTTGCCGACAACTTGAGGGTGGAAGGACAGACTGCATTCCCCGCCTGCCCTCTGCCCGCCAGCAGTGATTCCTTCAGCTCTGCGTTTGCCCTGCTAGCGTGTCAAGTAGAAGCTTGTCTTAGGCTGCGTGATTAAGGGGAAGAAGCTCGTGGAAGCTGGTGACTTCCTTGTGGAATCACAAAACAAACCACTTCTGAACATCTGCGTTCAGAGTGCACCTACAGTAGAGTTGTGATCTTAGCCTTGGAAATTATACTTTGATTACCAAGTATAGTAAATTTCAGCTTGCTGTATATTGTTTTACACTTGATGATGTCTAAACACGAACCTACCATATGTATATGGTGGTTTGTTTTTTTTTCTTTTCCAGAGGCAACCAGAGCTGGATATATTATACTAATATTTGTGTTGGTGTTACTTTTTGTAAATCTGGGAGCAGTTGGTTTGTTGCTTCTGTGGAGACACCACAAAACAATTAAATATTGGTCTCGGCCACCTTTAGAAATCCCATCACACTTTGAAGAGGTATGTGTAGACATTTTATTTTTCTCCCCCGCTCTCCCCCTCCCCCTGTAAAAGACAGTGATGATCTTGGAGCGAATGTGAACAAAGCTAGTTGTTGCGTAACAGAAACAGATACAAATGATTGTTGACTTAGTGTCAACTGTTACTTTTCTCATATCTGCTTTTCTACTTTATTCCTCTTTTACTCAACTGAATTATTTTTTTCTCTGCACTAAGATACAAATGCTGCTGTGATCCTGTTATGACTACCCCTTGTCCACCCCTTTCTTTGCTTAGCGAAGTCATCAAGCCCAAAACAGTTGCCTACTTGAAGCAAAAAGCTTTTGTGTGCTGCAGAACATGTACTTGGGACCTAGGTCCCGGATTAGAAATCAAATACAGAGAAGCGAACGCCGATCGTTTTAAGAGCAAGGGCTGACTTGAAGACTAAGGACTACCTAGGGGAATGTTCTTGGGCTTTTTCTTTTTTTCCTGTAGTTTTAGCAATACTTGGATGAAAAGGTCATCCTGGGACTTTTTTTCTCCTTGTAGCTCACGCATTTCTGTACTAAACAATATCGTTTCAGTCCTGTTCATCTTCCTCTTTTTAGTATCCAAACAGGAAGTAGTCTTTTAAGCAAAGTTCTTGATTTAAAAGTTCTTGTTCAGCATACATTCCATAATTTTAAAAGCTTGTATTTGTTTGCAGTTCTTTGAGGTGTATTTCTTTGTACATATCTGCGTGTCAGAGTAGTCCACGGTACTATGGTAGTTCTGTGATTGTGGAGCTGTTTTTCCAGATTTTTATAGATGTATGGGTGAATGAACCCAGACTTTCTGCCGAGTCCCGAGTACATCGTTTTCTCTTTTCATGCTACCTCAGCTACCATTTCATGGCAGCTCAGTGGTGACAGCTGTATCACATATCAAGCGAAGTATATCTCACGTAGGGGGAAAAAAATCCCGGTACTGTGTGCTAAAATAGTGCTGCATTTCATGCAAAGGACTTGCAAGAATAGAGTCTATCATCATGTGCTCTGGAGTAATTGTATTGATCTGGAAAACATGCAGCAAACGTAGATACTCTTAAACAATGTTAAGCCTGGTTTTGGGCAAAACACTGATAAGAAATGAAGGAAAACCAGTAAATATGCAGAATTTTTAAAACGTGTATTTCTAAAAGGGTCAACCAGCCTGAGGCTTCTCCTCTTAAAACATTTTCCATAAGTACAGAATACCGATTATTTTAAGGCAGTTTCGCGTGTACTCCTTTAGATTTTCAGAAAAATCACGTGCTTCCTTCTTTTACAGAAGGCTCTCAGCTTTCAGTGTCGGAGTTACAGGGAGCAGTTCTACCGCAGAGACGCCTTCACATAGCAAAGCCAAACTGACGTTCATTTATGTCTTGAATTTGCTAAAGTGGACGTATTTGAGGTTCCCATATGAAACATTTGTTTTTAATACACCTGAAAAAATAATCCTGTTGCTCATTAGCCTTGCTATGATTACAGAGGAAGTGGTGCCTTAATTGAAACTGAGGTTAACTTTGTCCCACAGCAGATGTGACTTGAGCCGCGGTCCCGTCTCAGCCAGATTGTGACACCTCCTACAGTACAGAACAAGCTTTTGAGTAAAACTACAAGCTACGTCAGTCTTTTAACAATGTGAAGGTGGCCCTGTTCCAGACACTTACTTTTTTTTTTTTTTTAAATCAGGGAAAAAGCGTTCAATGGCAGATTTTTATTTTTTTTTGGTTCAGTACATGAAGTGGTAGATGGCTCCAATTCCCCTTGAAACACAAGGTCAGCTTAGTGATAAGGAGAGTATGTGGGGGTGGCAGGAGGAACAGAAAACGTAGAGCATTTTCTCTGCCCAACAGTTTTTTCCTAATGCTCCTTTCTTTGATCATGCATTCATTGTAAAGCTGGGAGGAAAGGGGAGCAGAGGGGAAGTCAAAGCAAAAAGTAACTACAAAAGAAGAATGTCACTAGAGTTTTCTGGTAACAATAAAAGATGCAGATCGGACTTGCCTGACACTGAACAAACCAGAATCTTGGATCTCGTTTGCTCCATCAGCGCTTTAGACAAGCTTTCAGTTGCTAGATTCCTGCAGTTGGAGGATATGTCCCCAGCGGTGTAATAAAGAAGTGTTTTCTTCTGTGGCTTGTTCTTAACTGCAGGAATTTCCTTGAACTGACATGAAAACAATATTAGCCAAAATTTATTAAAAACAAAAAAAAGTAGGAAATGCAGGCTCCTTTAACTCACCCAAATGGACGTTTGTGTGATTGATTATTCCCCTCCCCCAGAAATAAGGTATTTTTAACTTTCTCCTTGTTCAGTGTAGTTTCAAGGAAATACAGAAGAGAATATCCTTCTAGCAGCTCTCGCTGTGAATTCTGGTCTGAAGCAACTTGCCTATAGGCGGTGGTACCTGCTCTGTCTCTGTAATTTCTAATAATGCATCTGTTCTGTGGATAGATATCTGAACCGTTTTTTTCTGGCTTTTTCCAGTATTTGAAAGACCCTAGCATGCCTGTTTTAGAGCTGTTGGACAACTATGCCGAGGACGATCCCTGCGATTCCTCATCTGTTGTGTTTTGTGGAGAAGGAAGCCAAGCCTGCGGCAGCGGTTTGGACGGTCAAGCTCATTCACGCAGCGTCTCCAGTGACAATGAAGTAACGGGAGCGGCGCCCTAGCGAGAATGCCTGTGCCAAGCCTTTGCAGAGGCTCCCGCCCGTGAGCAGCACCGTGTGGCTACTGGCAGGACAGACAAAATGAGGCCACTGACAAATCCTGAGCGAGATGTTGCTTCCCGAGAACAGCGCGGACCCTGAGCCTGTGTTTAAATGGCTTCTGCTGTGCTAACAGCAGCAACTGTGTTCTGCCAAAGAGACTTAAAAGGTGGAACGTGAAAGGGAAATGAACACTAAACTGTCTAAAGACAGGCAGATGGTTATAAAATGGTTATATTAACATCATCATATTTCCCACCTCAAATTGAAATAAAGCTTTGAGAAATAATGGCACTTTATGGTAGGATGTAGTACAACCTGGAATTTCTGTTTTGTTGCCTCAGTTGTGAAGCACGCAATGTGTGTTATATCCACTCGGGTATGCTTTTCTGAATCATTGCAGTCTCCTGTGGCAGCTTCTTCCCTCCAGATAAAAATGGCAGTCTAAAAAGAAATTTTATAGTACTTCACTCTCCTCAGGATGAACCTGTGCAAAGAACTGCTCCAAGAAGGGCTTCCTAATATCTGCCTCCTAACACATTCATGAGAAGCATTAATCTTCTGCTCCTGCAGTGAGACAAGTGTTCTTCACAGCAAAACAAACTTACTTAAAATAATTTTGCTCAGAATTTATGTAACATGTATCAGTAATTATCAGACACTAAAAATCTCTTGTTGACTGTCACATTAGTCCTGCAAATGAGAAGTTGACTGAGGGTTGTGTTTTGAGTCCCTTGAAGCAGAAGCCTACAAGTTAAGCCGCATATCACAATCCTGGTGTCTAATAAAGCACAAACAACAAGTGAACCACTTCTGTACTAAAAAGATTGTTTTTATTTGTTTGACTTTTGTCCTGGGTTTGATACAAGTTGTCAAAAAAAAAAAGAAGCTTGTTTATTTGCAAATGACTTGTTCAACTTACTTAGGTCTGTTAATGAACTTGGTCACTGTCAGAGCTGTGGGTTATCTGAGGTGATGCTGTTCCACCCCTGCCAGGAATACACAAGACTAGCGTGAAAAATCAGTAACGTTTTTTCCAAGAGCTTCATGAAGTTGTTTCCTCGTAGAACTAATCTAATCGCTTGTGATTAGGCAACATGCCAAGACAACATAGTTATCTGAAGACTTAGTCATACTTCCAGTCTGGTAAGAATTTCCGAGTCAGCCACAAGCTGTATAGTACCTGCTTTTAAGTTCATCCATGTTCTTTTTATATACTGTGCTGTAAACAAATGAAGGACCACAGGCTCGCAAAAGGAACAACCTAAATGCATAATAGAGGGCATACACACATAAATAAGGAGGCAGTTAAAACAGCTCCTGTGAATATTTTGCAATACAGCATACAACTTCCTGAATAAGCCCTACACTAGCCTTCTGTTAGAGAGAGTTGTTACTAAGTATTTTTACAGTTACACAAACAGGCCAAAGTTAAAAACCTTTGGTTGGGAGGAACTCGAAGGGTTATCATCTTCACAACTGGCAACTGTAGCAGGCCAAGGCATGACCTAAAATGAGCCATCCCTATCCACCCTGGCCTGCGCGGGAACTAGCTGTGGTGTAAAAGCAGGCCTCGGGACATTCCGAATGAGGCCTGCATGGTTCTTACGCTACGCCTGTTTTCAGCTTAGGATACTGGGAAAGATACATGCTCAAAGCTGGCTCTTTCCTCCTCTTAGCAGCTGTAGAGACAGCATGACCCTTCCAGTTCTCTAAAACCAGAAAGGATGGTCAAGAAATACTTGCAAGAAAGCAAACTTCTGGTAGGAAACACAGGTAACCTCAGAAAGAAGCTCTTGCCCTGCTCTGAAGAAAGCTGTTTTTTTAAGCGGGAACTTGCATAAAAGCAGGCTGCAAGGGCTCTTCCAGAGTCAAGCAGGTAGCTTGTGCTGTTCAAGTGTCAGGTGCACGATACTGTAAGTGGGATTAGTTACAGGCTAACACTTGTTTCTCTCAGTAAAAGAGCCAACAAACACTCTCAAGCTCCTAAGCAAGAAACTGACAGACCCGAAAACGAAAACCTTGGTTTTACTTACTAGCTGGTGTAAGACTTGCTTAAAGGTCAGTACTGCTTGAGCTATTACGTAAGTGGAGTACTACTGTACAATTACCTTGTGAAGTTCACTATTTTGAGAACATAAGATCAAGTTTATTGCAGTTTTCTGAAATTACAACCAGACAGACAACTTACGTACAAAGCTATGATTAACACCAGTGAATATATCGTAACTCACTGCAGGACGGTGAAATCGGGATGAAGTTAGTCTAGCCAGTAGCACAATTTCAGCTGCAGTATTTGCTTCATATTCTGTCCACTGGAGAGATTCCCACAAGGGAGCAATTAGATGACTAACAGTACACAGCAACCATGCACAGAAGTTACATTCTGCAGTTTACTACCATTTGGTCAGCAATCTTGATACATGGAAAGTTACAAAAGCTTTTAGACACAAGGTAGATTCAAGTGCTTTAAAAACCACATAGGACTCGCAAGATATGGAAGTCACCACCAGCAAGATAAGTGTACAAGATCAGCCCAAAGCTATAAAACATCGTTGTTCTCCCTTTCTGTGTACTCCAGCTAGAAGAAACTGGATTTTAATAATGGAAGCATTCCCATAAAGTGCCCATGAAATTTAGGAGGTAAATACATTTTAACTGGGGCAAATGGCAGTCCTAAAACTGGCAATTATTCCAAAGTAAGATTGTGAGCAATAAATACATCTACCATATCCCCGCTTGAAATGCTCGCCTTTTAAATAGAAAAGGTGATAGGCAGCAGGATAACTGTTCATTTATCAGCAAAAAGCTTTCCCCGAAGAAAATTATGCTAGCATAATTTTCAAGATGTTAGTCCGACTCTCATTTATTCTTTATATTCCTTAAGTACGACTGGCATCAGTTTGTTGGGGTTTTTTATTCCAATATCAGTAAATACATTAAATACTAATTGGTATCTGCTACACCGAACAGCATGAAATTAATTCTAAGGACTGTGGTGCTACCATATGTCTTTTGTGCTATAGCCATCAGAAGTCAAGACCAGTTTGATTTGCCATGCGGAACCTGCTTAATATAGGGCCTTGTTTAAAAATTCATAACCTTTTACAAAAAAATAGCTACTTTATATTTTTCTGAACAGTTATATAAAAGTCTTAAAATCAGCTCTTATCTCAGCAAACGATAGAATTTACCCTCATTAAATACAGGCGTAGCTGGGTCACCCCCATGCGCTGACTACTCCCGCGGGTTACACAGGCAGCCCTTGCCAAATCGGCTCTAGCCCACCTACGCACAAAAGTAAGAACTCCTTTTACAGGGCACGGGCTTTATCCTGCTCGTTCACTAGCAGTTCCACTGAAGTCTCTGACACAGGTGAAGGCTTGGAAGATCAAGTCTTAGGAGCTGATGGAAACCCACGTATTTGAAGAAATAAGCCTGCAGGTTTCGGAAAGCAAGCCTGACATTCCCTTTGTAAGATATATACAGTCATATGTACATATTCACAAATCTGTCCTGTGAAAAGAGGGAGCTTATTACAGAAACTGTAATTCGTCTCGGTTCATACAATTTAGAAAGCAAAACAAGAACAAATGAATGTAAATATATCTACATACAAAGTACGACATAGCAACTATGGAATAGACAATGCTATACGTGATCTCTCATCCCCATAACTCTTCTGTTCTTCCAAACTTGTAGATCAGAGTACTAAAGGGGGGGGGAAGAAAAAAAATAATCAGACCGCACATAAGGTGGACAAAGGTAATCTTAATAGTATCCTTACAATCTTATACCATCTACACCACAAATCAACATCCCTCCCGCAGCCTTAACTTTTATTCAAGTCAGTATCTGGTTTTTGTACTTACATTTCGTTTACTATGCATCGCTAAAACTATGAGATCCAGCTGAAGCAACTGCTCCAATAAAAAAATAGCTAGTCTCACGGTAAAAGCAGCTGCCCTTCTGAAGGAAAAAATTCTGGTATTTAAGGGATTCGAGGACTGGATCCACAGAGTTACAGAGCAGCAAGCCTCGTCCTGGCATCTGGCGATCAGCTGAACATAACACATCGTGCTAGGATAGAATCTAACATTTTTATGAGCAAATCGGAAAGAATATTGATCCTGTGGTGGATAAGTGAAATCCAAATTACAATTTTATTTCCAAAATTCCCTTTGTAAGGTTGGATGCAATTACATATTGTCACAAATGAAAAAAACATGTTGAGGGAACAAAACCCAGCATGATTTCCTTATTGTTCCTTATACTTTAAATCATTTTTTTTCTTACAGCCAACAAACAGGTGGTAAAGAAGGGCACAGTCATACTAAATCATGAAAGAATGAAGAGGGAGGGGAATGAGAAATACTGACACTGAGCACAACAATAATAAGCAATGATAAGCAAAACAAGCTAGACGCCTGGGCAATTAACTAGAGAAGAGAACTACTAATACAGCATGTTAAACTAAGTAAAAAACCAGTGGAGTAACAACCAGGGCTGAAGCGCAAGTCCTGAAGGAGACCCATGGTTCAGGAAATACAGACATCATGGAACAACACTGACGGAAAAGAGTCTGATTCAATCAAAACAAAAGTTTTGGATAAGGACATTGAGAAGGGCATCGCCGACTGACCCAGGTCTGGCCTAAGGAAAGGAGTCTAGGGCAACGGATGGACTTATCAGATGTTACTGCCTAAAGCGCGTGGTGGGATAAAAAACAGACTTTTTTTTTTTTAAATAAAAAGGTTCTAATTTGTCTCATAGTTCATGCCTAGAAAACAAATTTTAGAAGACAAAAGAAAACAAATAAACCTAAAATATATCTACATACAGAGTACAATAGAAACTAAGGAAAGACACTTTCAGAAACAAAAAGCAGCTTCAGACATAAGTTCATCAAACTACTGAAGTAAGACTAAAGATTTCAGGCATGGTGAAACTATTCTCAGAAGTCTGCCTTCATCAGTATTGCATTTCAATCATGTGCAAGACTACAGAAGAGATTTAGCAACTGCTGTTTTCTGCAAGAACGTAA